TTTTACCGGTCTTTTATGTCTTTATATCTCCTTGACTTCCTCTCCATATGAAAAATCTATGTTTACCTTTTGTAAGTCTCTCTTTTTTGTTTTAGTGTTGTTATCTTTTACATATTGACATCTCTTTCCCTATTTTCAGTGTTTTAGCTTTGATTTACTTTTGTGACTTCCTTATCTGGGTTGATATCTAGTTGCTCTGTCCTGTGTTCTAGAGTTGGGTTGTTATCTGATATTACTGATTTTCTAACAAGAGGATTCCCTTTAGTATTTCTTGTAATTTTGGCTTGGTTTTTGCAAATTCCCTAAACTTGTGTTTATCTGGAAATGCCCTAATTTTGCCATCATATTTGAAAGACAATTTTGCAGGATATATAATTCTTGGCTGGCAGTTTTTTTCCCTCAAGACTTTGTATATGTCATCCCCTTGCCTTCTTGCCTGCTTGGTTTCTGCTGAGTAGTCCGAGCTTATTCTTATTGACTCTCCTTTGTAGATGTCTTTTCGTTTATCCCTAGCCGCTCTTAAAATTCTCTCTTTATCTTTGGTTTTGGCAAATTTGATCATAATATGTCTTGGTGACTTTCTTTTGGGATCTACCTTATGTGGGTTTCGATGAACATCTTGGATAGATATCTTCTCATCTTTCACGATATCAGGGAAGTTTTTTTACCAAAAAATCTTCAACAATTCTCTCTGTATTTTCTGTTATCCCCCTGTTCTGGTACTCCAATCACTCATAGGTTATTCCTTTTGATAGAGTCCCACATAATTCTTAGGGTTTCTTCATTTCTTTTAATCCTTTTATCTGATTTTTCCTCAGATAAGTTGGTGTCAAGTGCCTGATCTTCAATCTCTTTAATTCTGATTTCCATTGCCTCAATTCTGCTACTTGACTTTCTATTGATTTGTCTAATTCTGAAATTTTATTGTTAATCTTCTGGATTTCTGATTGCTGTCTTTCTACGGATTCTTGCTGCCTGTTAAGTTTGTCATTATGCTCTTCTCTAATCTTCTTAATTTCTTCTATTTCGTGTTCTGCATTTTGCTTAATTTCCTTCCTAATTTCTTGAAGAGTTCTGTATATTAATCTTTTGTATTCCGCCTCAGGTAATTCCAAGAAATTTTCCTCCTCTGGAAAATTTCTAGATTCTTTATTTTGGGAGCTTGTTGAAGCCATCATGGATGGCCTTTTTATGTGATTTGATATTGACTGTTGTTTCTGAGCCATCAATAAGTTATTATATTTATTTATTTTATGTTTGCTTACTGTGCCCTAGCTTCTTGTTTTGTTTTGATATGCCCAAATAGGCTGCTTGTATAAGCTAGTTTGATTACTGGCAACTTTGAAGCTCTAATGTCCTGTCACCAGGTGGTTAAATCTGTTACTAGGTATGTGAGCTCGGGAGTCCGCCCTTTCCTCCTGTATGGATTCAGCTCAGGTGCCCAGGTAGATAGGCACCAAGTGTGTGGTATAGGCTCTCACTTACAGTCCTAGAAAGTCATGGGTGATTGGTGTAGGCACTAGCATCTGGCTCCAGCAGGGGGACACACTCTGAGCAAGGCAGGGGGCTGACGGCTGCCCCTGAGCATCCAGGAGGAAGGCGTGTCCCTATTCCCTAGAGAGCGTAGGTGGGTGGGTTTTGCAGCCGGACTATGAGCAGCTAATGCTGTTGGCTATAAGGACGAGGGGCACCTCTTATTCTTGGACCCCTCTTGCAGGTGGCTAGGTGGCTTGCGTGGAGCCACCAGTCCTCAGGCCCCTGATGTGGGTAGGTGAAGACCCTGATTAATGGGCTTAGTAGTGTCAAATGTCAAAAACCTGCCACTTCACAGCTGGAACAGTCAAAGTTAGAGTGCCGGTATATACCCTGTTGTACTGACGTAATGAGGGCCTACGCTGTTGAGATGGGCCCCCACAAGTCTATGCAGGGGGAAAGGCACTCAAAGTCTGTGGCTCCCTTATGCCTGTGCCTAGGCAAAGGAGCTGTGCCTACCCTGGGTTCCTGGCTTAGGGGAGCCGACAGTTTACTTTTTCCCCCTGTTTGTTAATTTGTTCACTCTCCAAGGCAGGGAGAATGGCTCCGGGCATGTGACAGATCCTACTTCTGGCCCAGGGGACTCGGCAATTGCTGAAGCCGGTCCAGGACCCAGTGCAGAGCAGGGCGTGGGGAGGTAAATAGGAGAGAGGTTTTTCCCTCAGGGGGGTGTTTTTGATCAGTGCGGTAAGCCATAAGCAAGCACTTATCTTTTATGGAGGGCTGCTTCTCACTGGTTCTGGGTGGCCGTGTAGACTCTCTGGTGCTGTGTCTCTCCCGGTGCATAAAATGCACCTTCTGAGCATGGCTGCTTGCCTGCCTCACCACTCACCCCCGAGCTGCTCAGGCCTGAAGGGCTTAGGCTCTCGCTGGGTCAGGTCTGGCAACTCCTTTCTGCTTCCAAACTGTCTCTCCCTCCTCTTGTCATTCAGTCTGGTTCCCCAACTATGCCTTTGTGTTCAGGGCTCCCAGACTGCCATATATAATTGAACCACTTGTTTTTCTTTCAGGTCTTTGTTGTAAGAGGGTCCACAGGAAGTGTCCAACTACTCTGTCATCTTGGCCCTGCCTCTCCTAGACTGTTGGCAAATTTCTTTTCAAATAGCTTTTGCTGTATGCTTTAGTGAGAAGTAAGCAGTAGTAGGGGGCATTGGTGTTTAGTGGTAGAATTCTTGCCGTCCATGCAGGAGACACAGGTTCAATTCCCAGCCAATGAACTTCCTGCACTGCCACCATCCATCTGTCAGTGGAGGCTTATGTGTTGCTAAGATGCTGAATAGGTTTCAGCTTCCAGACTAAGATGGACTAGAAAGAAAGACCCGACAATCTTCTAAATATCAGCCAATGAAAACCTTATGGATCACAACGGTTCAATCCCCAACCAATCTTGGGGGATGGCTCAGGACTGTGTAGTGTTTTGTTCCATTGTGCACGGGTCCTAATGAGTTGGGGGCCCACTTGATGGCAGCAACAACAATGATCTGAGGAAAGAGATTACTCTTGCCACTTCTGCTCTTGGAATATGAATGACAGTCCCCAGCAGTGTATTTAATGCATCCATTAGTCTAATTGCAAGTCTGTCATTAGGAAACAAATACCTTGTGTATCTCTCACTCTGACTCTAAAGAAGCAAGCCTTGTAGTTGATATAAGAAGTCCTACAAGCATGCTTTGAAGAAGAATTCCTTGTTTGTTTTTTTCTTAATATCCTGGAGCTTGAGGTCCTGCTCACAGTTGCTGTACCCTGAGATGGGGGTGGGGGATGACAGAAAGGGCAAACAAGGAAGTGTGAATGCTACTTGATGCTACAGCCCGATACATCTGTCTTTCACCATTGACTGCCTACTCTCAGCTGCTCTAAAAGGGGAGACCTTGGCCTGAGGTCTGCTCTCCTGTCCCTGCTATGGCTCTGCCCACTTCGTGTTGATCTCTGTTATAACTTTACTACATTTTATCATCATATTGTTTACATATCTGACTCCTCTCTACAAGGTGAGCCCCTCCAGTGCAGGGAGTCTCATTCCTCTGTATATTCCTGGGGTCTAGGCCAGTGACGCAAGTAGATAAAAGTTGCCTGTTTGAATTAGTGAATGAAATCATCTAACCTTTGTGGACTGCAGTTTCTTCATCTATAAATGGCGTGACAAGAATAGGATGATCTGTGAGGTGCCTTCCAGCCCTTACATTCTATGACATCAAGAACCCCAAGGTGCAAAGTATTAGTCAATTCCTCATTCTCTAGCTTTTCGACAGACATCAGCAATTCAGACTCCTTCTATACCATTAGCCTCTTCAAACGTAAATGAAAATGAGTAATTGTAAATAGAAGAAAATAAAATTGACTGAAAAATAAGTTATAAAGTAGTGTTATAGCCCCCCCGCCCCGTAATAGCAAGAACTTTTAAAGGTTAGTTTTCTGCAAAAGTTTAAAAGTTATTTGAAAGATATGGTTCTCTTGTGCTGGGTAACAAGTAACCAGTTGCCATGGAGTCGACTCTGTCTCATGGTGACCCTAAGTGTGTCAGAGTAGAATTGTGCTCCATAGAGTTTTCAATGGCTGATTTTTCAGAAGTAGATCACCAGGACTTTCTTGTGAGGTAGACTCAAACCTCCAACCTTTAGGCTAGCCATTTGCACCACCCAGGGACGCCATTGTGCTGGGTAAACCAAAAAACTAAACCCATTGCTGTTGAGTCGATTCTGACTCATAGCGACCCTACAGGACAGAGTAGAACTGCCCCATAGGGTTCCCAAGGAGCAGCTGGTGTATTTGAACTGCTGACCTTTTGATTAGCAGTCAAGCTGTTAGCCACTGTGCCACCAGGACTATTGTGTTGGCTAGTTCTTAAATCTCCCATTTCTCTGCTGGGGACTATTTGCTCTTATGAAATCTTTGTTCTGTCTTAAGATAAGACTTTCAAATAAGTGAAAAGCTAGGAAAACAATAAAATCTAAAGTAACCCCATGGTTCTGTTCACTCATCACTTCAGAGTCTAAATTAACGAATCAATAAATAAACACTCCCATATCAATTCAGTAAGCAACTGATGCATTTTGATCCTTGGCTTCTGGATAAAACAGTTGGGTTTTATATAAACTGACTTAGTGACAGAAACAATAATGTTTCATGAGAAACAAGATTTAATGATTTGTAAATCACTGTATCCCAGGCATTTACTTCACATTTGACTTTATTTTCATTACTGATATCGATTAAAATGACTTGTACGTTGCACAGAAAGTAAGAGAGGTCTTCACCAGGAAACATTGCTCCCAGGAGCAAGCATAAATCACTGAGATTGAATGTCATCTCTTTTAGTTGACCTACCACGTGGTCCCCATGAAAATCCTGAACAGAGAGCAAGGAACTTACTTTCTTATAAGCAATAACAACTTAGATTTCCTTCATTACAGTGGCATCTCTTCATATCTGGATGTCAGATGTTGACGTTGGGTCTTTCTTGCTTCTCAGGGAGACTTTGTGAACCCCGTTGCGCCAATGTTCTCGTGGACAGTGGCCTTCGAATTTTCTAGATTCAGAATTTGGCTTTTGTACTTTGTGCTCCAGTCGTCCACAATGTACTGGTGGTAGGGGTCATGGGAGTGCTCTTGTCTCCTGGATTTCACCGTGCTCACCAGAATGGCTACAATGATGAAAGAGAACATTCCAATCACCACCATGAGGTACAAGATGACATAGTAGAAGTTCTCAGCATCAATCTTGGCTTGCAAGGCCTCTTGTTCGGCTGTGGTGTTCATGTGCCAGTCGTCCATATAAGTAATAAAAATCTTCTTGAAGGCATCTTCCAGGGCCTGCGTCAGATTGGATAAGAAAGACATGTTTCCCTCTTGCTGCAATTTAAACGATAAAATAGATGAACCAGGTTAACAAGACAGATCCTTTCCTCATTTATCTACCTTAAGGGAGGGAGGGAGAGGGACTTGAGGGGAGAAGAAATATTATTTCTTCTTAACCTGGCTGGTGATTAACTGAATGCATACTTTGCTATTCTTTAAACTGATCGTATACATTTCTTTCCTTTTTTGCATGAATATTATATTTTATAATACAATCTTAATAGAAGACATAAAACTATGTGTAATATGATGCCAATTTTATTTATATACAGGTAGTCCTCAACCTATGATGGGTTCTGTTCCGAAGACTACTCCACTGTAAGTCGATTCTGACATAAGTTGAATACCTCATTTATTTTTTTTTTAGTTTTATTTATTACTGCATTTTATTATCAGTATCTTTATAACCTGATCTTTATTTGTCTTTGAGGGTTGGAAACATTATATCTAAGAATGATCACATCAGTGAATTATGTGCTGTGACACCGTATGTAGTATATGTTACTAATAATAAGATGTACAAAAAAAACCCAAAACACAGATGGTCGTAAATGCCATTCATCATAATTTGGATACATCATAAAACCCGTTGTCGTCAAGTCGATTCTGATTCATGGCGTCCCATGTGTTACAGAGTAGAACTGCTTTATAGGGTTTTCTTGGTTGTAATCTTTACAGAAGAAGGTCACCAGACCTTTCTTTCATGGTACCACTGGGTGAGTTCAAACCACTTACCTTTCAGTTGGAAGTTGAGGGCAAACGTTTGCGCCACCCAGAGCCCTTTATTTGTGTGTGTGTGTGTGTGTGTGTGTGTGTGTGTGTGTGTGTGTGTGTGTCTGTATGGTCTCATCTTTCCCACTAGACTGTAATCTCTTTGAGGGCAGTGCTCATCTCAGCTTTGTTTGTCTCCTTATAGCTAATGTCTGACACTGACACATAGTAGGCACTCAGTGAATGTTTGGTGAAGGAATTAACGTGCCAGGCACTATGCCAGGTATTGGAAATGCAGAGATAATGAATACTGCCTGGGAAGTCTGCCTGTGAGGATCTCAGTTTAGTGGGAAAGAAGCAAATAAATGACAATGCAATGGGCAAAGAGCTGTAACAGGAATGAGCAAAATGATAAGGGAGCTCAGAATATGGAGATGAACATGGTTCACAGATGTAGCAAATTAAGTGTAAACCAAACCGGAAGGAGTAAACCTAAGATTAGGTAAACCTATAGGTCCTCCCAGTCAATAGACTGGTCCAAATGACCAAACAGTGGGTTTGCTGCTACCGTTCTGAACGCAATGTGCCCTTCTGTTATGAACTGAATTTTGTCCCCAAAAAGATATGTTGAAGTCCTAGCCCCCAGTTCCTGTGAATGTGACCTAGCTTGGAAATAGGGCCTTTGAAGGTGTTATTAGTCATGTTAACATGAGGTCATAGTAGAGTAGGGTAACACCTAATCTAATATGACTGGTCCTTATAAAATGAGAAGAAGAGATTCAGAAACAGACAGACAACAGGGAAGAATGCCATGTGACAATGGAGGCAGAGATTGGAGTGATGCATCTATAAGCCAAGGAATGCCCAGGAATCCCAGCAACCACCAGAAGCTGGAAAGAGGCCAGGAAGGATCCTCCTCTAGAGCCTCCAGAAGGAGCATGGCCCTGCAGACACCGTGATTTAGGACTCCTAGTCTCCAGAACTGTGAGGATAGCCGTTTCTGTTGTTTTAAGTCACCCAGTTTGTGGTATTTTGTTGCAGCAGTCCTGGAGACTAATACATCTTCCCTTTTATGTGTGTCTTTCCTCTCCTTCTGTGGGAAAAGAGGTTTCCAATATCCCCACCCAGGAAAGGGGCACAAATAAACTTAGAGTTCTTTCCCCACACAACACACCTTCCCAACATTTCCTTCGTTGTGGATGGATGTAACTAATATATTTTCCTCAATCTGAAGTTTCAGATTCTATTATTCAAGGCACTTTAGGGTCTTCCCTCCACAAAGCCTAGTGGATTGGGAAGAAATTTCACAAATAGACAGGATTGTGCCAAAGTACCCACCAAGAACATTTCCCAAGCAGTGTCACAGACACAAGCTTTTCCTGCCTCAAAATAACGGAGTTCATTGTTTGGGGGGTGGGGGGCAATACATATTTCTCTTACACTCTTTCTGAGCTACTTCAGGGGTAATCTTAGAAATGTGATTGGGCAGGATTACTTCACATGTGAGTGTTCTCACCTTCTGCCCTTCCAACCCTTCTCCACATTATCCAATAAAGCAAACTGTGATTTTGCCAGCTCACCTGCTCTCCTGGGCACCCTCTAGAGAGTATTCTTTTTTTTTTTTTTTTTGTAAAGACATATTGGAAAATAGAACAACTAAAATAGACAACAAAAAAAGAACCCGAAAAGTTAAGTTTACAAAATAAAGGGCTGGCCATGGGGTGCATAGAAATCATAGGAGTGCGTGTTGAGGGAAGTTTGGTACATGAGAGGTCCTGAGCAACTGTCGGGTAGAAGAAAACTGAGAAGGTGAAGAAAGGGACCTTTTCTGGGTAGAGAATTAAAACGAATTGCCAAAAGTCAATTCTGACTCAAGGTGACCCCATGTGTGTCAGAGTAGAACTGTGCTCCATAGGGTTTTCAGTGGCTGATTTTTTGGAATTAGATCACCAGGCCTTATCTCCAAAGCACCTTTGCATGGACTTGAACCTCCAACCTTTGAGTTAGCAGCTGAGCATGTTAACTTTTTGGACCACCCAGAGAATTAGTTCCCCTTTAATGTTCTTTCTGAGGTGCTGTCAAGATTGGAATTATTTTAGTTATTTTTGGTTGTCGGACAGTACTTCTGGGAAGCCACTCCACGTATGCACTGAGCCACATGAGGCCTACCCCGTATGTGGGTTCCCCAAAGAGAAAGTAACTTGCAAACTCCAGAGTGAATTGAGATCCTCTACCCACATTCCCTCCCATTTATCTCCTTCCTGACTGTTCTGCTGTGCTTGGAATTTCCACATCAGCTAACTTCTATGAATGAAGGAAATAAAAGTCCCAACGTTATATGGGAAGGGCAACAGGATAGGTCACTGTTATGAATTGAATTGTGCCCCCGCCCCCAGTTGTAAATGTGACCTTATTTGGAAATAGTGTCTGTTATGGATTGAATTGTGTCCCCCAAAATATGTGTTGGGATCCTAACCCCATACCTGTGGACCACCATTTGTCTGTCAGTTTGTCGTACTGTGGAATTATCAAACAATATCATTAATATCACATGGATGGAAGGAATACACAGAGTCACAGTACCAAAAAGAATTAGTCAACATTCAACCATTTCAGGAGGTAGCATATGATTAAGAACTGATGGTACTTACTGAAAGAAGAAGTCCAAGCTACACTGAAGACATTGGTGAAGAGCAAGTCTCCAGGAACTGACTGAATACCAATTGAGATGTTTCAACAGGTGCAATGCTGAAAGCACTCACTCATCTATGCCAAGAAATTTGCAAGACAGCTACCCGGCCAACCAACTGGAAGAGATTCATATACGTGCCTATTCCAAAGAAAAGTGATCCAACGGAATGCAGACATATCATTGAATGCAACGATATCATTAATATCACATGCAAGTAAAATTATGCTGAAGATCATTCAAAGGCAGTTGCAGTAGTACATCGACAGGAAACTGCCAGAAATTCAAGCCAGATTCAGAAGAGGATGTAGAATGAGGGATACCATTGTGGCTATCAGATGGATCTTGGCTGAAAGAAGAGAATACCAAAAAGATGTTTACCTGTGTTTTACTGACTATGCAAAGAAAGGCATTTGACTGTGTGGGTCATGACAAATTATGGATAACATTGTAAAGAATGAGAATTCCAAAACACCTAATTGTGCTCGGAAACCCTGGTGGCGCAGTGGTTAAGAGCTACGGCTGCTAACCAAAAGATCGGCAATTCGAATCCACCAGGCACTCCTTGGAAACTCTATGGGGCAGTTCTACTCTGTCCTAGAGGGTTGCTATGAGTCGGAATCGACTCGAAGGCAACGGGTAATTGTGCTCATGCAGAACCTGTACATAGATCAAGAAGCAGTTGTTTGAACAGAACAAGGGAATACTGCGTGGTTTAAAATCAGGAAAAGTGTGTGTCAGGGTTATATCCTTTCACCATACTTGTTCAATCTGTATGCTGAGCAAATAACCTGACAAACTGGACTATATTAAGAGGAACGCAGCATCAGGATTGGAGAAAGAATCATTAACAACCTGGGATATGGAGAGGACACAAACTTGCTTGCTGAAAGTGAAGAGGACTTGAGTTTACTGATGAAGATCAAAGACTACAGCTTTCAGTATGGATTACACCTCAACATAAAGAAAACAGAAACAAAAATCCTCATAACTGGACCAATAAGCAACATTATGATAAACAAAGAAAATATTGAAGTTCTCAAGGGTTTCATTTTACTTGGATCCACAATCAATGCCCATGGAAGCAGTAGTCAAGAAACCAAATGATACATTGTATTAGGCAAATCTGCTGCAACAGACCTCTTTCAAGTGTTAAAAAGCAAAGATGTCACTTTGAGGACTAAGGTGTGCCTGAACTAAGCCATGGTATTTTCAGTGGTCTCATATACATGCAAAAGCTGGACAGTAAATGAGAAAGACTGAAGAAGAGTTGATGCCTTCAAACTACAGTGTTGGTGAAGAATATTGAATATACCATGGACTGCCAGAAGAATGAACAAATTTGTCTTGGAAGAAGTACACCCAGAATGCTGCTTAGAAATGAGGATGGTGAGACTTTGTCTCATGTACTTTGGACATGTTATCAGGAGGGATTAGTCCCTGGAGAAGGACATCTTGTTTGGTAAGCGGTCAGTGAAAAAGAAGAAGACCCTCAAGGAGATGAACTGACACAGTGTCTGCAACAATGGGCTCAAACTTAGCAACGACTGTGAGGATGGCACAGGACCAGGCAGTGTTTTGT